ACCAAGTGAACGCAATGACAGTTCTGACAGTTGACTCTGAAATGGATTTCTGGAGCGCGCAATCAGGATAAAAACAATCAATATTATTCCTGTTTTCTTTTTTTTTTTCTGATTTTTATTCAATTATGCGATTCAAGGAAAATCATTACCTGACTCGTGAATTCCACGTTAAATTGCACTTGAAAACCGATATCGCACGCCGAGTCGCGATATCGGTTTTCGCGTGCAATTTAACGTGCATGGAATTCCCTCGTCAGGTAAAGAATTTTCCTAATAAATATGTATAGTATTGAGAAAATCTCGTACTCGTAGTCGTTCTCGTCGTAGAATCTAAAGCTCTCTATTAATGACCAGTCAACTGCTGTGATGTTCGTTTCACATACAAACGTTGACCAATAAAACCTCAGGGCTGATATTACTCTGTAAAAGGAGAAACTGTGGTAGTTCCGTATACACATTACTCTTGATAGCAACCAATAGTGGCGTCGCAAAATATCGGCTTTAATAAGGCTAGCGGTAAATAAGGCATAACACTTGAAATATTCAACTAGCTTGAAACTGAAAATTCAAGCTTCAATACACATTTTTCAGGCTAAATATTAGAACTACTTAGTAAATTGGGTAACTGATTATTTCAATTGTTTTTCTTCTATTTCCCTTTAAAGTAGAAAATACAGATTCATTACATTACCCTTTTAAAAACTCATTAACTTGATAGCGTTTATTTACCCGCCCTGAAATTAACTGTATGGCACGATATTTCTGAGTTTATGGTAGCCGCGGAAGATATCAAGTCAAGGAAAAGAGCGTAAAAAACTCGACCGTCCACGTACTTCTGCAATCTCACGAGCACCATCAAACAGCTTTTAAAGTGAGTGCGGGCTCTAAACGAAATTTGGAAGATAAATGTGAAGAGGTTGTAGCATATCTTGAAGCTGAAAAGTAAGCATTATTCTGATTTGGAAATTTTTCAAATTACGTCACATCATTCTTTCGTTTGCCAGCAAATATGTCCTCATTCCTTTCGTCTTCTCGTTTTGTTTCGCTACATTTTTAGAAAGCCTCATCGCCATTACTAGAACTGAGCTATAACTTAGCGTGTTTTACTACCAAGATTGGTAATTTCGTACAGCAAGGCAGGTACACGTCTACGTGTAGAGTGCACATGCAAGTCGACCACAATTTTCCAATTATCTATACTTAGTTATTTCAAAACAAGACGTGATAAAATGTTCAAAGCTCTTTTCTGCTTTTTATTATGTTTTCTCAAGTACCAATTTACGCACTCAACCAGACGGACCGCATTACGTCACCACAGAAATTAAAGGGGCTGATTGTCATGCCTGTCTGAATTCCGCGTCCTTATTCGGTATCGAAAGAGTGAGAAATACTTGAATGTGAATCACAAAACCACAGCTTCGTATCCAACAATATGTCTCCCAGGCCTATCAAACCTTGCAAACCATTATAATGCTCATACTAGAAGCACAGGTAGTCTAAGCTTGAAATATGAGCATCGGCATTGTTGGGTAACATTCGAAATACAGCGGAAATATAGGAATTTGTATAGGGAAAAAGCCTATCGTTCCTGTAACGTACGAAAATGAAAGGATTTCAATAAATAAAACAGTTTCCCTTACTTAAAATGTGTGTTACGTTTCTCCTGTGTGGTCCACGGGCCGATTTACATTACAACCCATAAAACGGCGCCCATAAATCGGCCTGTGGACCACACAAGAGACGTAACACACATTTTAAGTAAGGTAAGCTGTATTTATTGAAATCCTTTCATTTTCGTAGGTTACAGAAACGATAGGTTTTTTTCCTATACAAATCCTTATATTTCCGCTGTATTTCGAGTGTTACGCAATAATGCCGATGGTCATATTTCGAGCTTGGGCTATCCGCGTTCATCACTTACCGAAACTAAATCAAGTCGAAAGGAGTCCAGTTTTCCGGCCGAGATGGCCCTGATAAAATCAGTGGGGCTGGCCAATCGGCAGTTATTGCCCGCAACACCCCGAAAATGAGTGGCTTTGTACCAGAGAACACCGAGATTAGGATGCGATCTGACCAATGCAAGAACCTATAAATTACCTTGAAAAACTAATACGCTAGCAAGTTTTCAAAAACCACGATTGCAACCCGTTTCATTCTCTATCAAGTTTGTCCATCTGCGCCTCCTTTATATCTTGTGTGTTATTTATACGGCTTCTTTTAACGTTTTGAGCGATTATTTTTGTTTCACACAGTTTGGTGACAGATTTTACTGTTTGAATTTTGATAAATTTCGTTACGCAGCTCCTTTAATGAACCAATGAAAAAACGTTGCTGTCAGCGGTCTTGTTGTTAGGTAAAAAAAAAAGGATAGAAAACCCTAAATTATATAATATTGCTGTGTGCAATTAAAAGTTACTTTTTCATAAGCCGGGATTTTTGTTCTTATGTTCTAATCAGATGGATATCAATATTTTACCATATCATATTCTCAAACTCGATTGATTTTAATTAATAATTCTAGATTCCTTTTCTAGTAGCAGAGGACCTTTTGTTGAATTTTTCTAATTTCGTTTCTAGAAAAAAAGGGGGAACTGAAATAAAATAAAGTAGAACATAAAAACCTGTAGAAGGATCTATTGATCTATTGACCGGTCTGTGAGACAGCCATCCTCGGAGACCCAGGGGCAGTTAGTCGGGTCGATAAAATGTTCGTGGTGAAAGTTTACTGTAAGATCGATCTTACAGTAAACTTTCACCACGAACATTTTATCGACCCGACTAACTGCTCCTGGGTCTCCGAGGATGTGAGACAGCCAGTGAACAGTTAAAACCAGAGGTTGCAACTCACTTACTTAATGCAAGACTTCAGAGTTTCCAAGTTGTGAATCACACGCAAAAAAATTCTTGTCCTCTGTTTAACTCTGTCCTGTTACCAGGTCGATTCGGTTACTTAGACACGCTGCACTTCTTTAATAAAGTAATCTTAATTCAACTTAAAATAGCTTACATTAGATCATAACTTAAGCAGTGAAAAAATGTTCTAGAAAGTAGCCGTTGCTATGGCGTTATGCATTCCAGTATTTACGCGAGATCAATCTACCTAGACTTGATCCGAGCAAAATTCAGAAAATTTGGGACGAGGATAAAGAAAATGTGCTGGTCGAATGTAAGTATGGGTAACTCAGTTCAACAGACGGACAAAGTGGCCAAAAAAAGCACAAAACAAAATAATTGGCCGAGCAAAATGTTGCGCAGCTGTAAACCGTAAATTCTGTTGTAACGTCGACAATTCCGCTTTAGTTTATCAGATCATTTTTTGTTTAGGTTTAATATACACTTTCGCGACTTCAAAACATTTCGTTGCTTTTACTCGCTTTTACCCGAGCGTCTCTGGCGCCTTCCGCGCACTCTCGGTAGACTTGTCGCACTTGTGGCAAGTGAACTTAGGTTACATTTAGTTCTTGGGAACTATTTTAATCTGTTGCCGCACAAAATTTGCGCGGCCAATATTTTTTTCTTTGTGGTCGCAATTTTCCTTCATCTCGTTGCATCGACGGTTGCAATCTGTCAATAATCTTTATTTATACACGATATAACGTAAACTTTAAAGAGATGCTTTGCTCGTGGGTTCGTGTCTGATAGAATTGCTGACAAAAAGATTAAGCACTGAATTAAAATGTGGAACGTAATTAGAGCAATACCGGTGCAACGGTGGCAGAGACCGATGGATATCAGTGGATGAAATCCCAACAAAATTGCTACTGAAGATGCAAAACAAATCCTTAATCAGAAATTCAACCATTTTAATAATTAATTAATTTTTTTTCGGAAATATTCAATGTCACGGCTCAATGGGCAGCGTTGTGCAACATTTGTTCGAGACACGTCACGAAAATTCAGGCTTTTTTCCGGTAAATAACTTGCGGGTTCTCTCCAATGCAACGTGACTTTCTAAGGCCTAGTGTTCTTCATCTCATACGAACGTTATCTGTTAAAGAATAATGAGTTCCTATACCCGAAAATATAGTCGTCCTGTGTATACATGTACAAGCAATGCATTCCTGTGACTAATATAACTTGAGAAAACTTAGCCTAAAAAATACAGAAAATCTCTTACTCGTAGTCGTCCTCGTCTCTGAATCTAAAGCTCTCTAAAATTCGTTACTTATCTTTAGCATTAAAAGTTTATTAACTTTAATCTTACACTCTCGACCCAGGGCAACAATTTCACAAGTTTCACTGTGTTTTTCAGTTCGCCGAGTCGCTTCATTTATTACTAGGACAAGTCCAGTTTGAATATCAAACAATTTAAACTTTTTCCATTTCTTTTTCATGGGTAGCACTTCCATAAAGATATGATTTGAACTAACAGGGGGAAACCGGAGCACCCCGGAGGAAAACCCCCTCTAATGTGCCTTCTAGTCTAACTGATTAAATATATAATATTTAATGTTCTCGGTGAACATACACGACTCGATTACCATAGCTCACTGTAAGCATGACTTTCAAGTTGCTTGTCCACTCAAAATGTAAGTCTCCAAATTAATATTGTAAAAAAAAGGTCTCCAAATCGTTTCAAGTCCAAAGTTGCCTATACCGTCTCATAGTTCACAACTAATTCGGTTATTAAAAGTCATTGTCAACCTCTGCATGTTTTCTATTTACTAATTTATTACTGTTTCCTTCTTCTTTGTTCGTAAAAAATAAATCCTAATGGTGAGATAACCAATAAATAAAAACTACCTGTGTTAGACCATAACCAGGTGAGACTAGCCACCCGACTATAAAATAGGCAAAGTATATTATATCCGTACACAATGTCCTAAATAGAAGGATGCAAGCCAGATCGAGATTGATACGTTGCCTACGTCCCCTGTCCTTTCTCTCCCCAGTCTCCCGCTCGATCTGCTGTCTCAAGAGTCTGAAAACCTGAATTTTTTTGTAAAATTGGTGTTATCAAGAGAGAGTAAGCTACAATTGTAGCTCATTCTCGCTTGGTGTTATAAATCTGTCGTATCGACTATGACCTTCAGAAACATAGTATCGTCTCGGACGTAGGCATGATCGTTTAATTCCGACAAGGGACAGAATGTAGGGCACCCGCTAGCGATGTTTGTTTCTCTTCTTGGTCTCTGGAAGGATGAGCTGTTTGGGTCAGGTCTGAAGGAGTCGATTACGTGTTCTACGTTATTCTGATCCAGCAGCATGAACGTAACCTTCTGTCTGAATGGCCAGCGGAGTAACGCATCGTACTCACCACGCATGACAACAAAGAATACCGAGATGTGTGTCCCTCTTCCAATACCATCACCATTCAAGTAGATGCGCGCGCACATCTTGTATCCATAGCGACTGGTAAAGAAGCACGGGCTGTAAAATGACGTCTGATGCCCGGAGACTGCGTCTTGCCTTTTTTTAGCGAATTCGGTGATTTTCCAAAGCAAAATTCCATCGTGACTGGAGACTTCCTGCTGCCTCACATATTCGTCCAAATCTGTCAGCATAACATTACGAAGTGCTAGTGAGTGACTCATGGACTCGAACTGTCTTTGTAGCCGATCAGTTGTTCCATTCGAAGATTCCTGTTGCCTGGCTACGTTAGACACCTTTCTTTGTAGTTCTTCACTTAATCTATTTGCTTCAACGAGTAAAAGTTCGAGATTGGCTGTCTTTCCTTCTTCTGTAGTCATCCTCTGTAAAAGCTCTTTGGGGAGCGTTGAATCAAATGCTGATGCTGAGTTTGACCTGTTCTGTCTAGAACTTTCCAGTTGCCTTATTCTTTCTTCTTGTTGAGCCAATTTTGATTTGAGTTCTTCATTTTCTTTCAGCATATTCTCAACTTGTTTAGCATAGCGTTCCAAATCTTTCTGTTTTGGTAGATTTACGCCATTCATTGTCACGAGACCAGATTCCCGCATGGTCTTCCCAACCATCGAGAAGAGCTGCATTACGGTCTGAAAAAGAAGCATCAAGTGACCGGACGCATTTTCTTCTTCATGCATTCTTCGTTCCTGCAGCTTCATAGTCTAAACAAAAAGAAAACGACATGGTGTATTAAAGCTCAGAAACGTTAATAAACACGCAGCCCTTCCACAAATTTCCGAATGATTGCTGACTTGGAGCATACAGTCAAACTTCAAGTGCCGGATTCAAAAGTGGCCCGTAGATAGCTTTGATCAAGGCTCAGTATGAGCTTTCCGGAGACATCTTCGCAAACCTGCACAAGCTGAGGACCACTCAGTAAACGTTTTCCCTGGACAAAATCACATATAAAAGATCTCCCGCCCTCCTCCACAGCAGTCTTTAAACTTATTTAAGACAAATCCGTGACATTTGTCTTAGCCTTGCTCTGGCAAGGGAAAGTCATCTTACGTGTAGCGGCACTTTACACAAAAAGCCATCGATGCCATTCATTTTTGAACATTCAACTTCCCCTCTAAAGCACGATCCCCTCCTGTAACAAAAGTAATCTTAAGTATTTGCATACCTTTGTCTCAGGGCATCCAATTTGTGCCCAGGGACAACTTGATTGTAATTCCTCACAGTCTCCATTTACCGGATCAATATGGGCAGGCATCTGATCGAGTGAGAAAGATAAAAAAACAAAATTAAGTCCCAAACGTTTTATTCCAGAGTTACGGTAACTATATGTAGTATGATGTAAAATGTTCTTGAATTAAATTTGTTACCCACGCAACACCTAGGAGCAACCTGTTAAGAACTCGTTTACAAAAGTGCGCGCGTTGCAGATCAAACGATCAAATCCGCGGTACGGAGAAAGATAGATTGATGGATTTACCCAGAGTTCCGCTGGTGACGCCATCTTTTTTCGTACCGAGAAGTGGGACTCTGGAATCATTGTTTTGGGGAGTATGCAAAAACAGAAAAACAGGAAGAAGAAAACCTCTCGGAGCATGGAAGACAACAAAATTAGATGCGTTGCCTTTTTTTCGATTGCAGAAAGTGCTTATGCAAAGTATCCAGTGATGCCAGTGAGCATCAACTTCGCAAATAAAAATTTTCAAATCAGAAAGGCTTGTAAGGCTTACTCACCTGAGAACGAGGGATGCCCTTTCTCCCGCATTCTGCGCAAGTCTCTGGGACTGAGGGACACTGAGAGGCCTGGTGTTCCTGTGCATAATTAACTATGTTAGTCATCAGTTTAGAGATCACTGTGAACAAAGTATCCAGGCTGACTGGGTTTTGAATGGAAAAGAAAAGATCTCTTGTTTGTGAGACTTAACACTAGCAACTACTTCTACCGATTTCAGATGTTAGCGGGTTAGAGGTATGACTAGAAGNCCTTTCTCCCGCATTCTGCGCAAGTCTCTGGGACTGAGGGACACTGAGAGGCCTGGTGTTCCTGTGCATAATTAACTATGTTAGTCATCAGTTTAGAGATCACTGTGAACAAAGTATCCAGGCTGACTGGGTTTTGAATGGAAAAGAAAAGATCTCTTGTTTGTGAGACTTAACACTAGCAACTACTTCTACCGATTTCAGATGTTAGCGGGTTAGAGGTATGACTAGAAGAATAAATGAGCGTCAGAAGAAAGAGAAATTAAAAATGCATGAGTGATCTTATGAAGACCGATCAATAACTTCACAACAAGGAAATTTATTGTTGCAAAGGAAGACTTAAAAGTAAAAGGATCGTATCCCAAATGAGGGCAACTTAGGGGTAAAAAACAATTTCATGAGGTTTATCGTTACCTTCAAAAATGCAAACTCTACAAGTGTTTGGCAGTAGTCGCATTTTTCCATTCGGAATTGACACCACTTCTCAAGATGCTCTACCAGATTTGCTCTAGTCACCAGTTCACCGCATCCTTGATGAACGCATGGAACTTGAACGTATACACACATAGCTTCGTGATCCTAACATGCGAGAACATGTAATTGTCAATTGTGGCAATAATGAACAAAATAGCACTAAAGACGGAAGAAGAACAGCGTTGTTGTATAATCGACATATTTTAAACTAGGAGCATCGTAAAATCTAAGACTAAAGATTTAAAACTCTGACAAAACAAGTAGCAAATCATTCGCCCTATACTACTTCCGCGCTGTTGAAATCGCTTTATTAATCTTTTTACACATGCTGATAAGATTTCTGTTCTAAAAATACGAGGTAAATCATATCATGCGCCTTATACTACTTTTATTCAGCCATGCCCAATTGAAATTGCCTTTTTTCAGATAATGTTGTTACTTCTACGCAGTAAATCATGCCCCCTTTACTACTTGGGCTCAACTGAAAATCGCTTTATTTAAAGGTCGTCTGTTATGTCTAGATCTCTACAAACTCGAGCCTGGATGTTAAGAGGGTCTACCTCAATGAGGTGTGAATTTTATTGAAATTTTGGCTTTTATGCAAGGTCCTTTAGTACCATCACCGGGTGGGATATAAAATGACCATGAAATTTTTTTTTAACGATTACGGTGAAAATGTTTCAAACATTTACGCCTCTTGGATCACTACTTTTACATCCCCTGGCTGATGATTTGAACTCCACTGAGACCCTGTGGCCAATAGGGCCAGAGGTTAATCTGTAACAGTCTTTATCCATTACACCGGTATAAAAGACAGCTAGTAGCAACCAGTACAGTGTATACATCATGATGTTTCATTTGAACAGTACAATTTAGAAGCCCAGTAGTTACCTCTCGTTTCCTAAGCTCGTCTCTCCAGTCACAACCTTCTTCTTGATGAATGCAGTGAACCAAGAGTGACTGGATCTCACGCTCGACAAAGCGGTCAAGAAATACCTGCAACGACAACAAACGGTTCATTTTTGGTAATCATAACTTGGCCCATTCCTTATTGTCAGTATCATTATAGATTTCGTTCTCGTTCTCGTTCTCATTAACATTATCATTTTCATTTTCATTATATTTATCATAACCACTATCGTTATCGCAATCGTTATCGTTACCGTTACCGTTACCGTTATCGTTATCGTAATCGTTAGCGTCATCGTTATCGTTTTCGCTATCGTTTTGGTTATGGTTATCGTTATTGATTACTCATGTGAAACGTTGGCCTCTGTGTCTGTTAAAACCTGTACATTTAGAAATTGTGATTATAATTTAACACAAGCTATTATTGCGGAGCACTCGTTTGTTCTGTGTACCGTTTTCAAAATCGATGAAATCATTGAGGGAAACTTAAGAAGCGATCACGAACCTGTTCTTTAGTAATCTCTGTTCCATCAATGATGCACTTTCCCACTTCCTGCCTGTAAAAGAGGGAAACTCGAGTCAGTAAATTTACAGTGAAATTTACTACACTGCATTTACAAATTATCTGCATCACACCCAGATATCAGAATATTTACTTTTTAACAGCATATTTGGCAATTATATTTGGTATATGAGCCGGTATACAATTATCTACAGATTATTAACCGGCTACATGCCGTATATTAACCATTTAATTAGCTGCTGTACATTTGCTAATTATCTGGCACCAGAGCGCTAATATTCGACGGGTAAATCATTATCCATTAGATGAATGGACATTAAGTGCAAGGAAAATCAATTGAGTCACGTCGGATATAATAGAGATATATTAGGAGGGGCATTCAATATGTCAATCAGTTATTATCGGCAGCATATTTGTCAATTATCTACAGTATATAGCATATTAAGTGATTAAGTTGGTGCTAAGTCGTGGGACTCTTACTTACCTTAGAATCGTTTCCACACATGTTTTGCAGTACCTATGTCCACATGCTATTGTTTGCACAGCTTCTCTAAGAAGTCCATCACATTTAGGGCATAATTTTTTTTTATCTATCACTGATCGGTCCGTTGGAGATAAATCGTATCCGGGCATGATTTAACTGGAAAGAATACAAAAATGCGACCAAGGTGAATTACTGACAGGAGTTGATTTATTACTGAATACGTTTTGGTTTTTGTTCATGAACCATGTCTTGTGTTCCTTTATTTTACTCAACGACTGCAGATCTAACCTCGCAACAGAGCTTGCGTTATGTGAAGGGGCCAACTATAAGCTAATCTGACAAATGCAGTAATGGAAGGGACTATTCGCTTAAAGTGGTGATCTGGTTTTAATGAACTATGTGGGTTAAAATTGCAGTACTTGCCCTCCATTCTATTCCTATATAGTTATACCTAGAACTAACGAGAGGAACAGCTGAGAGAAGGAAATTAGTGAAAATAAGAATAAGTAACCACAAACTAATGATAGAAGTTGGTAATGATACAATCCAAGAGAGAAGGATCTCTCTCTTGTACAATCAAACTACCAGAGTTAATACGAATTGCCCTTTCTGTGAGTCCAATCAAAAAGACGAAATTCACTTTCTTTTTGATTGTTCTAAATACTCTTTGATTAAGAATAATTTTTACAATAAAGTTAAGACTCTGATTCCAAATATTACCCAGTTACCTATGAACGTTTTGATGAATGAACTGATGAACACTTATTATTACTATTTCAACATACAATTCATGAAATATATTTCAGCTTGCTTTGACTCATTTTTGCGGCGAATTATTAACAAAGTAGCTTAATTGTGCGGTGATTAAATTTTAGTTCTTATTCTTAAAACATAAATAGCTTTTGCAATACTGTATCTATGTATGGTCCTGCAAATGAAGCTTGATATTGTTGTTGTTGTTGTATATAAATGGAAAAAAAACTATATTGTCATATTCCGATCCAAACGCAATTGTTTCCGCCGTCATAAGATGATTTAAAATAAGCATTTGTAATTAAAGTAAGTGGCAAGTTTAGAATAAGGAAATTCTGTAAGCAAAGACAATTTTTTGAGAAAGCAGATATTTTGAATAAACTTTCCTATCTACTGCATTGACTTAACTCCTGAGGCAATCGAGAAAAACGGACCTTACCGTATGGCGGGACTCGTAGAAATAGATTGCATTAATTTGATTACTCTTTGAAGCAGATCTAGAGCACCACAAATTTGCTTCGTATCCTTAAGCTCGAAGTAAATTCTGGCTGACCAGACTATTGCGCACCATCATGCAAGCTCTGCACAAAATTGTGCTGACAGTGTTCCGATCCCATGCAATAGTTTCTTTGTGTTTAAGTGCGAGGGTGTAAAGGTTAATTGTAAGGCGGTCGATAAAAGCATGGACACGGAACATTCCGGAACATTCCAGAACATCCCGGAACATGAAAATATTAAACTAACTTTTATGAAAAAAAAATAAATAAATAATAATAATTTTTGTAAAAACTTACAATAGCAAAATAAATAAAATAACATAACATAAAAACGGAAAAGGTGTTAAAGTACGCAAAAACAGCCACTATTTTGAATTATTTTGAGTGTTATTTTATTTACGCAAAAGTGTGCAAGGTTTATTATATCTGTTTGTCTTGGTTGAAAGATTTCGAAAACGCGCGTGCCTGCCGTTAAGTGATTTTAATACTAAGATTTATCTTTTGTTGAAATTCGGGGGTGGAAGCTGAATAATTGGATCACGATTATTTATTATTCTTTGCTTTTTTTCTCTAAATTATTCATTATTCATTTCAAATTTTTCCGTGATATTCATTATTCATTTTTTTAGTCAGTTTTCCGTTCCCAAATTTTCTACAATGCAATTCTATACATTGTTTATCAAAGGTTTACATTTCAGTATACATTCAACCATGTCTTTAGCAAGTATCATTCTATTTTTTTTTATAAATGTGGTCTAGTATACATTCAACCATGTCTTTAGCAAGTATCATTCTATTTTTTTTTTATAAATGTGGTCAAAATAATGTTATCCTTTTCGATCAATAGACCGTCTATGCAATTACTAGAATGTGAAGGACCAAACAACAGCAGCTTAATAACCATAAGTACTAAAACATAATAACTAACAAACAAACTATAGCTGAAGCGAACACTTTTCATAATCGTAATCGTTCGTAATCGTCTTGGTTCACAAGTCGGGCAAGGTAGGCTGCTTGTTTGCAAGGGTTTTTTGCACCACCTACCAGTTTACCCACTCGGTCGGATTTTAGGACCTATCTATTGGCAAGGTTTCACCGCAACCTTTACGCTGAGTCATTAATTAATTTCCAAATTGTCCAAACATTGTGGAAAATTTCAATGGAAGATTCTTATATTGCAATTTTTTAGACAGTTGCATCTATAACTAAAGTAATAGAATCGAATATCTTAATTATTAGGGGACAGGCTTTTATTTTAGTTTCATCTTGAGCCTCTGTCAAACGATATCAACATTTGTTCAACCATTCACTAACAACTGATGAGGGCCGATGTGAAGGCCGTGTGACATGCAAACATAACTGTCACCAAGAGAGGATAAAGGGGACAGAGAAGGCATCCTCCATACACACCCTATTCCATAGGTAATTCGTCTCGAGTTATTTTTAAGACTACCGATCCCAAGGGGGATTAGACAACAGCTAATCACATAGCGCGAATGTGTTCCACGTGGATGACCCACGCTCAGAGCCACGCGTCCTTCACGAATTGACGCAGAACAAAATGGCGGATAAAGACGCGGAGAGAACTATTGCTATTCGTTTTGTCGACGAAAACGACTACAGAGAGATTTCTGCTAAAGCTGTGTCACCGAAACGAAAATTAAAAAAGAATCGCCCTTCCTCTCTTGTATAGAGCTAACAGTACAGCAGGGAAATCCTTAACACACTGAATATTCTCTCAGAATCATTTATAATTTACAGCTTGAAGAGAGCAATTTCTGGCTTGATGTTTATTCTTTTATTAGACCCTGTTTACATGGAGTGGGGGACCCCGGTCTAGTGGGGTAAGTTTCTTTTGTTTTGTGTCCCCCAGAGCGTGAAAACAAAAGAAACCAACCCCACTAGACCGGGGTCCCCCACTCCATGTAAACAGGCCCTTAGTCTTTTGTTATTCAACAAAAATAACACTTGGCGTCCTACTTACATTATTCAAAGAACAAGTCTTTTGTGTTTGGTGTGTTTTATAGACCTCCGGTAAGCGACACCAGATGTTTAGAAATACTGCAGAAGAATTTGGAACATCAGACACCTCAAGCAGATATAATTCTGGTTGGAGACTTTAACCTTAAGGACGTGGACTGGAATAATAGATTAATGCTGAATAATTCGGTTGACTACGAACTATTTTCGGATATTTTGTCGGATAATTTCCTAACTCAAATGGTCTTGCAACCTACAAGAGGAAACAACATTCTTGACCTTGTCCTGACTAATAATAGTGACGTGATTTGTGACACCGAGGTTGGTGAACCGATCCCGGACCACAATACTATTACTTTTCATGTGAATGTTCACCCCTATCACCGGAAATCATCTGAAAGAAAATTTTATGACTACAACTAGGCTGACTGGTCACGCCTAAATGAGTTGTTTGAACACATTCCATGGCATTGTGCGTTTCTTTCCAATGATGTAAATGAAGTTTGGAGTGCGTGGACCGATTTATTTTTTACCGCTGTTGACGAGTGTATTTCAAAAAAGAAAAAGAAGAAAAATCGCCGGTCCCCTCGGATATCAGCTGAGATAATTAAACTAGTGCGGAAAAAGAAGCGGTTGTACAAAAAAGCTAAGATTAGAAATAATGATGAATCGTGGTCCACTTACAAAAAGGCAAGTAATTTGTTGAAGAAAAAATGCAACAAGGCCCGCTGGGAGTACCTCGATAAATTGGCAAACGACATGCAGGACAAGAGTGAACACAAGCTCTTTTGGAATTACGTGCAGTCCAGGCGCAAAGGATCAAATGATCTAATTGTTATAAAGTTACATAATGGCAATGTGCTAACCAACGAAGATGACATTGCTGAGTGCATGAACGAATATTTTGCTTCCGTTTATACAGCCGAAAACTTTGATAATTTTCCATCATTTGATCAAGTTATTAAAGACAAGGATCGTAGTCTTCTACACTGTTCACCTAAGGTTGTTAGCAAGATTCTAAGCGAGTTGAAACCTCGTAAATCTCCTGGCCCGGACAGTATACATCCCATGATTTTAAAGAAATGTGCTGGAACCTTGGCTCCATCACTTAGTGACGTTTTTAATGCGTCTCTTGCATCAGGCATTTTACCACACAACTGGAAATTGGCTGACATTACTCCTTTGCATAAGAAAGGTGCTAAAAGCGATCGAAAGAACTATCGCCCTGTCTCGCTAACATCGGTGGTGTGTAAAGTGTGTGAAATGATAGTAAGACAGCAGCTTGTTCAGTTTTGGATTACAAACGAGGTCTTTATTCCGGAGCAATTTGGCTTCCTGAAAGGGAAATCTTGTCTTTCTCAATTATTATCATCTTTTCACGATTGGGCCAGCGGGAGAAACAAAGGCTTGACAACTGATGTTATATTCTTAGACCTTTCAAAAGCATTTGACTCGGTGCCACATGAACGCCTTTTGACAAAGATACACGCATATGGTATCCAAGGTCCACTCCTGTCTTGGCTTAGAAGTTTTCTCACCAATCGATACCAGCGCGTTGTTCTGCGGGGACATCACTCATCTTGGACTACTGTTTTGTCTGGTGTGCCCCAAGGAACTGTGCTGGGACCCATTTTATTTCTAATTTATATTTAATGATATTTCAAGAAACATTGTGTCAAACACAAAACTTTTTGCAGATGATATGAAACTGTATAGGATACTCAGGGATACTAAGGAAGATGTTGAAGAGCTACAGAAAGATCTTATTCGCCTGGAATCTTGGAGCTATGTCTGGCAGCTGAAATTTAACACAGATAAATGCGAAGCGATGCGCATTTCTAAAAAAAATGATTACTCAAGTCCTCAATACCATCTATGTGGTAACCAATTAAAAGCTGTATCTGAAGTTAAGGATCTCG